CTCACTTGTTCAAAGAAGTACTGCAAGAATCCACTTGGCTGGTTTGTATTTCTTCCCTCCATCCTGCTGGAATCTCTTGGCACAGAATCTGTGTGCAGTGGTTTCCCCCAAAATAATATTTTTTGCCATTTTAAGCTCTTCACTAGCAATTTTCAATGAGAATTTGAGTTTATTTTGATTTCTGCTTCCCTTCACTTATTAACTCTGCCTGGCTGTTTGATCTGTCTCTGTTTAGGATTGATTATTGATCTGACACTGATTTTTGGCTTTGAAGGACACAAAGAGCAGGTTTTTTTCTGGAATTTTTGCTCCCCAGTTTGCAGACCTGTTGCATTCCAGTATTTCATTTCCCAAGGCTGTTACATGCTGGAAACAGGCAATGGGTCTGACCTGGAATTCTCCCATTCCATGCTTTCAACACCATCTTGGTGGAGGTGTCTTCCCCAAAACATTTTATTATTTTCTGTCTGAATCCTCTTTTCCAGAGAATTGTTTGCCTTAATCTATCAGTGATAAAACAATCCAGAGGAACAATCCCATAAGATTACAACACAGCAGGATTTTCTGGGAATGCTCCCAGGGCTGGGATGCCTGGCTGAGGTTCTGATGGAATGGTTCAGGAGCTGCTGCCTCATCCTGCTGGTAGATTCAGCTTTCCTGTGGNGGGAGGGGGAATAACAGGGCTGTACTAGGGAAGAAAGTAAAAATAAAATTGTGGTGTTTGTGAGGGTCCCCAGGATGAGGGGAGAGATGAGAATCTGACTACATGTTCTCAGAAAGCTCATATCATATCGTATCATATCATATCATATCATATCATATCATATCATATCATATCATATCATATGATGTATTATAACATAATATAATGTATTATAACATAACATAATATAATAGAATATATTATATATATTATATATATAATATATATATTATTATATATGTAATGTAACATAATATAGCGTAATATAATGTAATATAATATAATATAATATAATATAATATAATATAATATAAGTAACATATATATAATATATAATTATATATAATATATATATTACGTATTATAACATAGTATAACGTAATATAATATAGTAATTATATCTATTATATTATATTACATTCTATTACATTATATATTATATTATATTACATTACATTACATTACATTACATTACATTATATAAACGAATGCTATACTAAAACTACACTACAGAAAGAGAAGGGATACAGACAGAACGTTTAACAAGAATGATCATGAAAAACTCGTGAGTGACTCCTCAGAGTCCGACACAGCTGATGGTGAAGTCAGAAGGGATGGAGCAGCCTCCACCCTAAACCCTCCATCCTGCTGTCTATTCCTGTATTCTAAACCCTGAAACTCTGAGTTTCCCACCCTGTGATATCACACACTTCTGTTCAAACTCCACACCTTTAATCTCAGTTTTATTATTGAATTTTGGAAGCTTCTCCAGGCCCTCAGGTCAGTGCAGTGTTCTCTGGGGGTCAGTGCCTGACATCCTCAGTGTGCAGGGTTCCAGCATCTCCCCACTGTAAATTCTGGCTGCTGCTCTCTCTCATTCCCTGCCATTCCCCTCAGGGTGTGCTGAGGGCTATGCCAGGGACGCCACGGAGATCCAGAACATCCAGATCGCCGACGGCGACGTCTGCAGGGGCCTCCCCATCCCCATCCACATGGTGTTCCCCAGGCTCTTCACCTGCCCCACCCTGGAGACCACCAACTTCAAAGTGGGTGAGTGGGGAGCGTTCCTGGGACAGGAGTGGCCACGTCCATTCCTGTCCATGGGCACTGAGGGATAAACCCAGAGGAGCTGCAGGAGCAGCCCAGCACATCCCTGAGCCTGAGTGCTGCTGCATTTGCTGTGCAGCCACTCCTGACAAAATTCCACCAGGAGCACTGGAATACAGATCATGTGTTTAAACACTTGAGGAATAGTCCAGGAATACAATTCCCTCCTTTCCTCACCAGTGAGAATCTCCCTTTCCATTTCTTCTTCTTTTTGTTTCCCCCTCTCCTGCTGAAAGCCCTGCAGGCAGCGAGGTTGGGCAGGGTGTGAATCTCTCACCCACACCACGTGCTCCTCCCTGCTGATTGTT